TTCCCTTCCCTTCCCTTCCCTTCCCTTCCCTTCCCTTCCCTTCCCTTCTCTCGGCACCTCCCCTCCCCTGTCCTTCTTTCCTTTCTCCTCTCTTTCTCTTTCTCCCTCCTTTCCTCTCTTGGAACAGGGGAAGTGTTTAAGTTAGGGACAAGTTTTGAGTTGAGACAGCACAGCAAGGTTTTCCTGGTTAGCAAATTAGATTGTGGATGTGTTGTTGGCTGCAGGAACAGAAAAGTCCTAATGCCCAGAGCTCTAAGAGCATCTGATGACTGTGGAAAGTGGCTTGCCATGAACAAAGGACAGGGTGTGGCAAAGTAGGGATGAACTTGGCAGGGGGCAGATTATGACAGACCTCAGATTCTGAGAGGCTTACATGTGTGGCTTTTAGACCAGAATTTCACAACCTTGATGCTTTTGACTTGGGGTTGGATAATTTCTTCTGGGGAAGTGGGGCAGAGTGAGTACTTCCTGGGCATTTAGATACTGGCATCATCCTTGGCCTTCACCCCCCAGATACCGGCACCCTCCTCCTTCTCTCCAGATGCATAATAGCCAAAAAGATCTCTAGCCATTGGGCTCCTATTGAGAACCACTGTTTAGGTAATAAGAGTCGTTAGAGGATTTGGGGTCAGTAGATTTACAGTGACACTTCAGAGGAATTGTTATACAGGAGTACAAAGAGTGAATTAAAGGAGGCAGCAGGAGGTAGGGACAAGGGCTGAGGAGTGGTGTGGGTAAGTTTTAATCGCCTGGAGGGAGAGAATGTGGGGTGGGCCTGGAATGGGGCCAGTGAGATTTGGTGAAGGTGGCGAGCAGATCAAGAGAGAGGATTAGGGTGGGCAAGCTCAGTGCCCAGTTGCATGGGACGAAGAGGCAGCATGAGCAGGATGAGGCTCTGAGGACAAAGCCTGCTCTGGGGAGGGAGCATCTGTCTTGGTGGATCTTCATCACCTACACAACCCTGCTCACTTTCCCACATACACTCACATGCCCTTCTCCCTCCACCACACCTATGCATCCCATCAATTCATCTTATTCTTCCAGTGGCCAGCAGAAAAAGCTCCAGTCACCTCCTCAGTGAAGCCCACCAGGTTGACTTCCTAGGCTGAGCTTTGCTGAAACTCCTTGGCTGCTTTGCTGATGCCTGCTAGGTGCGGAGCCGGTCATAGTGATAGTTACAGTGGCCATTTTTGGACCACTTCCTGGGTTCCTGCGGTGGCTCATACTCAGTAATTTAATCCTCATGGAAGTCATTTTACGGAAGGGCTCAGAGATGGGGAAGCCTTGCATAAGCACTGTCCCCTTGCTTTGGAGCTCCATGTGGACTTGTGCTATCATCTGTTTGTCCTCAGCCTATTATCAGCCTCCTGCACATTGCCTGGCTCAGAGCAGAGCTCAGGAAGTCTATGGAGGCCAGACACAGTGACAGGCATCTGTAATATCTGCACTTTGGAAGGCTGAGGCAGAAAGATTGTATATTGAAGCCCAGCGTGGGAAACTTAATGACTTAGCAGGATCTTGTTCCAAAAAATATAAAAAGAGAGAGGAGAGAGGAGAAAGGAGAGGAGGGGAGGGAGGGAGAGAGGGAGGGAGGGAGAGAGAGACTGGGATGTAGCTCAGCATAAAGGTCCTGGGTTCAATCCCCAGTAAAACACACACACACACACACACACACACACACACACACACAGCCACACAGGTTTTGAGCAAGGGCCAGGATGGGAGTCAGGTTTGTTTGACCCCAAAGCCTAGATAACTTCTGTGCCACATTCTCCATTCTCCTTCATGTTCTTGCAAATAGTAGATATTTCTTATAAATGGATGAAATATACACATCATCAATGGTGGTTTTTCATCTACTCAGAAATAAACCTTAACTTCTAATAAAGGGTAAGCTAGACAGGTTTCCATGCTTGAGGTGTACATTTTCTCCATATGCCTTGAGTCTTCAGGGGCCTTTCTTACTGCTTCCAGGAAAGGAAGTCATCCACCTCTCTCCTGTGGGCTCCTTTGACCAACAAGACTTCTAACAAAGTTATAAGTCCACTTTGTAGAAGCCTCCTTGGGCCTTTTGCTCCACAAGTACTCTACTTTTTGACAGCTTTGTTTTCCTTCAGTTGCTCTATAGTATGATTGGGCCTCTGACCATCTAGGTCCAAACTTTACCTGCCCTTTGGCATCACCTGGAAAATTTGGGATTCTGGTACCCAGGCCTCATTCCCCAAGAATTCTAATTTAACTGGTTGATAGCATAACCCAGATAGCAGTAACTTTTTAATAATAAATTATGTTTAAAATTTTATTTTGATATTAGTAAGTTTTAAAATCTCCCTAGTTGATTTTAATGTGTGGGTTGAGAATGCTGCTCTTATTGAAAGGGGTTGATTTATTCATCCTCCTTAGCTGTACTTCTCCTTGGAGATTGAGGAGGAGGAAGAGGAGAAAGGAAAGGAAGAAGAGGAGGAAGCAGGAATGAGAGAGTGTGTGTGTGTGTGTGTGTGTGAGAGAGAGAGAGAGAGAAAGAGAGAGAGAGAGAGAGAGAGAGAGAGAGAGAGAGAATGATTTACCCATCATAGTGTGTAACGTTTTTGCCATCAATGAGTCCTTCTTTTGGATTAAGACATCACTTTAGGAAAGGGAAATACATTAAGTCACTGTTTGCCTCTAGCCCTTTTGTATGGATTTATCAATCCGCCTCTTTCTGAACAAACCCTGGGCTGAGAGAAAACACCCGTAAAATAAGACACAGGAAAGCTAAGCTCCTATATGGGGAGGTGTGTGGTTGACCTGGGCAATACGAAACAACCAAACAAATTGTCGGGAGTTTATCATGAGTCTGAGGAGGAGGTATAAGAGAAAAGGTGAGAGTGTGCAAGAAGTTGATCTTCTTTCCTTCTAAGTTCTCCTTAGGGTGGTCCTAGAATCTCATTCTTTATAGAAGATGGATTGTTAGGGCTTGCAAGAGCAGTTGGGGGCATTTACCTTTTCCTAACCCAACAATCTGCTGCAGCTAGCAGGTATAGCTGCTATTCCTGGACTGAACTCTGGGGACCTGGGAGCAACTAATTTACCTCTGCATTTCAGGAGAGTGTTGCACACTCAGCCCTCATATCTGGGAGTACTCCAAGATTCAGCCACAGCGATTGCAAATATTTGAAAACAAATCACCTTATTACTGAACATGTACAGACAGTTATTTCAGTTTCCTTTAAATGATACAATATAACCACAATTTCTGTAGCATCCTCTTTGTATTAGGCATCATAAGTCACCTAGAGATGATTTCAAGTACCAAGAAAATATGTGTCAAATACAATGCTCTTTTACAAAAGGGACTTGATTTTGATGTCCATGGGGGGATCTTGGAGCCATCCTCCATGCATACAAACAACCTTGATTGATGTCATAGTGGCAGCCTTTGCTAGCAAATGAGCCCAGAGCCCCAGGAACTGAAAAGATTAAAGATTCATATCAGGGGTGATCAGGGAGCCCTCTAGGAAGAGGTGACATTGGAGCTGAGCCTCTAAAGGTGTTGTTGGGCAGTTGTCCGCAAACTATAGCACGAGGATGTAAAACTCAGAGGAGGATGAGGTAGAGATGCATTCTGAAGACCTCCAGATCCCTGGCCACTCCCCAAAGTTGCCCCATTTTATTTTTAAGAATATTTAATGTTACCTCCAGGATACAAAGAATAAAAGCCCACTGAGGCAGGGGCCATGGGCAGCAGTTCCCTGAGTGTGTCTGAGGGCCAGCTGACGGGCAACCGTCAGAGATGATGCCATGATTTGGGTGCAGAATAAACGCCACACGAAGCAAGGGGTCCTCATTCTTCCTGCTTTGTCTGCCAGGGTTTGCAATTGTCAGTGGGGAGGCACCTCCTTTTCCTAGGACCTGCTCTGCTGTTTCAGTAATTGGTCTTATTTGACCTTGATCTTAATGGACTTTAATGATTAGATTCTAATTACCAAATGATCAGTTTGTTTGCAATTCTGTTTATGATTCTTTCATTGTAGATTGTATAAAGGACCTTAATATTTTCAAACTTGCAGAGTGTTTGTTGTTTATGTAGTGCCTTGATTTGAAAACACAGCATTTTATTGAAGGATGACATATTACAGAGAAGAATGTCACAAACTGAACACAGCCATGTGATCAACACCCAAATTGGGAGTAAGAACATGACAAGCATACTAAAAATCTTCAAGTTCCCTCCAGGCTGTAACCCCAACTCCCCATCCCAGAGGACACATTTTCTGGCCTCTAACCTCTTAGTTTGTTATAGCACTTTCAGTGGATGGAGTTAAACTTCTGTCTCATCTCTGCTCTTTTGGCTTTCACTTCCATCTTAGTCTTGTTTTGTTTTGTTTTGTTTTTCTGCTGAGACACAATATCAACACCCACCACTTAAAGAAGAAGTTAATTTTGGCTCACAGTGACAGCCCCTGGCTGGCTGGCTTCAAGGCAGAAACTGCATGGTGAAAGGGCCTGGGTAGAGGAAAGATGTTCCCATCATGGTGACCAGGAAACATAGCAAAGGGAGGATATAGGGAGAGAGAGAGACAGAGACAGAGACAAGGAGAGATACCTTTTTAAGTCAGGCCCCCAGTGGCTCTCCTCTTCAGACTGGGTCATGAGAGTGAATACAACACTCCCATCACCCTGTTACCTTTCAAAAGCTCAACACATGAGAGTTTTGCTGGGCATTCTGGATTGAAACCATGACACCTACCCTGATGCCATCTTCCCTGGTCCCCTTCCCTCTCCTCTGGGTAGGCGTGGCGTTCTGCATCTGCATGAGAGCAGCGGGATTCATGACATTGGCCTGCCCCAGTGGCAGCTGCTACTCTGTCTGATGGTCGTCGTCATCATCCTGTATTTCAGCCTCTGGAAAGGAGTGAAGACATCCGGGAAGGTAATGCCTCCTAATTTCTCTACTTTGGGGGAGGTTGGTCTTGACAAAAGTTTTTTTCTAGCTGTAACCATATTGTTGTTGAAAAGCCAAGTTGGAATTAGGAGCACCAAGCCTGAGTCAGCCTGAGATCTGCCTCTGATGTAGAAAACACATCCTTTTCTTAATCCTAAGTCTCCCTGACAGCAGGACTGGATGCAAGGAAATCAGAACTCACTGTTTCCTTCTAAAGTTTGGGGAAAAGCAGAGATCAGGGAATGAGGCACCACCAAGGGCCTTGAGCCAAAGCCTTAAGCTACTGTTGACATGTCTTTGTTATATTTTCAATTCTGGCCTAAAACTTCATACAAATGTTGCAGCCTATTTTGAAACATGGCCACTTACTGTACTATCAAATCAATAAATCCCCCTTCCTTGAATTTTTGAGTATAAGAGAATGCTCCGGAAGATATCTAGGTTCATGCTAGGTATGGCTTTTTGCTTCCTTTCACACTGTCCTGAGCATCGTCAAGGGTCTAGGTGGTTTGGAGAAAAAGAATACAAGGTCAGATGACCTGTGAGGACCAGTAGAAAGGTGGCATTCTGGACTTAGGTGACACTACCCTCTAATAGTCAACCTCTCAGGGTTGGGTACATTAAAGAATTGCCTGTGTTGATTCTTAGTCTAAGGAACATCAAGGGAACAATGCCCCTGTGGTGCCTAGAACTTGAATATATAGCTGGGACTTGTGCTTTCCAGCATTTTGATTAGCTACTGCTGTGTAACAAGCCACCCCCAAATGTAGCACCTTAAACAATGACCATTTTATTGTCTCTGATGATTTCAGGAATCATCTGGGATCAACTGGGAGGTCCTTCTGCTCTGTGTGGTATTGCTTGGGCTAAATCTTGGATCTTAACTTGGGTCTTTAGTCTTAAACTGTGCACATGCATTGCTGGGGCTGGTACTGGCCAGAAGCAAAGGTGGAGCTGTCAGTCGAGTACCTTGCATTGTCTCCATGAAGCCTTTCAAGGTTGCTTGGGCATCTCACAGCACGGCAGCTGCATTCCCACAGCATGTTCCATGTAGGCAACTCCCTACGGGCAGTAGCTCTTCTAATTTCTGCTTGTGTCATTTTTATTATTGTCCCAGTGACCAAAACATGTTTGTTAAAGCCTAGAGTTTATATTAGAGGTGAATACACAGAGGCATAAGTTTACCAGGACATCACTAGTAACTGGTTTTGCAAAGGAAGGATGCGTGTAAGGGTTTTCTGTAATACTGTAGTGTTGTTATTGCTATTGTTTTGTCACTATTTTGAGAACAAGAGACCTGCAGCCAGTGAGGATGTAGTCAGTCAAGAACTGGAGGTGGAATTTCCTAACAGCATGTTGGGTATACAGTGTCAGCCCTAAGAAGTATTCAAACAAAATAAAGGTTGGGGCCTGGAGTAATTCTGGAGTAGAGCAAAACCAATCTAGGATCACTGCTATCCCACCGCTGGCACATAGTCTGCAGTAAGTATTTGTTGAAAGATTAAAGAAGGATGAATAGATAAGTTTTGGGAACTACACCAAGTGTTCTTTGGGATTCAATTTAGCTTTTAAACATTTATGGACAGCAGTAATATGTCAATACAAGTGAAACATGAATAAGTAAGATAGATGCTTTATTCATTGCTTATAGTCTGTATGTATTACTGGAGTTGTGGATTAGTTATTGTCTTGGGTCTCTATTTGGAGACCCATATATTTGTCCTCTTTTAAATCAAGATTAATAGTCACAAACTCTACATACTATTATATATCTTATTTTTTAAATTTTAAACTTAACTTTACCTTGGAAATGATTTTACATTAGGTGGCCAGGTTATGCCTTAATAGAAATATAAGCTGTGGGCTTTTAAACTGTCATTGAATCAATTTAGCAATTTGTCACAACTTCAAAAAATGAAACAGGCTAGCTAATAAGACTATGTCACCCACATTAAGGTGAGAGATATCTTGTGGAATTGTGTTTGTTATGGCCATATATGTGTTTATGTACAGTTTCACATGAGATAGAAAGCATTCCTTAACATAAGTTATGGTCAAAAAGTGCAAGATGCTGCATTAGTGGATTAAGCTCTTTCAACTGGGACAGTTTGCAAAGGTTGGAAAAGGTAACATTTGTGCTGGGTACGTAAGGACAGACATGGGTCAAGAAGAAGAGTAAAGAAGTTCTCAGTGGAAGGAGCTGAGTGAGCAAAGCCACAGAGGTGTGGGTGTCCCAGACTAGCATTTTCCTGCAGTCTGTGTTCCTCTCTTGGCCTCTGGAGAGTCCCCAAGGTGAGTGACAGCCCACCTGTGTGAACTGCAGATATATGGCCTGATGGCCTGAATGTGGAGCTCCCATCTGCCCTAATTCTGTAGCCCAAGGTTATGCTCTCCACAGCCATTGGCAAAGGGCTAAAACCTACCCTATCTAGTTTTGCACTCTCTGAGCAGAGTACAAGTAGTCTTCTGGCTGAGTGGAGCTACAGAGAGGCCCAGGGGAGTGTTGAGAAAGGCAGGAGCATAATGTTATACTAGGGAAGTCCCCCGTGTGGAAACATGAAGAGTGAGTAACATGAGTGCCCTTGCATGAGCCAAATGAGGCCACAGGCCACATTTTGCGTAAGTCCGCCAGTGTTCTGGCAGCTGGGCAGGAAGAGGCCCTAGGCAATCCATGAGGAGGGTATTTCTAGAATGAGAAGCTTCACTGAGGACATTCCTGTGTCCTCTCTTTAATTGTTTTCATAAACCGGCTCATGAGAAAGCCAAAGTGTTGCTCATTTCTTCCAAGAATGCATCTGCAACAGGACACCAAGCTTTCTTTAGCAGACTTCCATAGCCCCAGAGCCAGCCTGAAATGACTTGCAAATGTACGCACTTCCCATTTTGGCAAGAGAAGACTGGACTCAGGAGGAAGCAGATGCGCTGGCCCCTGGGATGGTGTGTTTTGGGGTACAGTGTGAGCCCGGGAAAGGGGTTACTCCAAATCACACTGACAATCATGCTGGCCTATTGAGCACCTCAGAAGAGAGTGAGGTCTGAAGCAGTACGGTATTTGCAGTGCTGAGCCCTCCCACTGACTAGAGTCCCCACCCACTCTCTTTATATACTGGAGTAAACTTTGAGAAACCTCGGGTTTCCCTCAGCCTGGGGATCAATGGAGACAACAGAGCTGGCTGGGATTCCAACGCTGCCCTCTTCACTGAGAGTCTTTAGACTATCAGGGGAATGGGAACAGACTGCACTGGGTTTCTGAATTCTCACAGAGTTGGTGGAATTGAGGAAAGGGAAAGTCAGACTGATTCAAAGGAAACTTGAGATCTATTTATTAGTTTAATTTCATATTTGAATCATGATTTTAGTCGTCTTCCCACTACTGTGTCAATAGAGGTTGGCTCTGACTCTGTCATCTCTATCTCTGTCTCCGTCTCCTCTGCCTCTGTCTCTGTCTCTGTCTCTATCTCTATATCTCTGTCTCTCCATCTCTGTCTTTCTCCAGCACTGAGGACTGAACACAGGGGCTTTATCCATGCTCTGTAAGTGCTCTACCACTGAGCTACATTTCCAGCCAGTGCTGGTCTTGAAACTGCAATCTCCCTCCTTTAGTCTTCGAAATATCTGGGATTATAGGAGTACTCAGCTTGCCTGATTCTTTGCCTTTTCTATGTAAATCTTAAAGTGGATCAAGTCTGAGTTCTCATGGCCATAGATATGATGCGATATGAAAGTTTGACAGCAGAGAAGCCTGGGATAGAGCTCCATAGAGCTCAAATGCCCCTTGTGACCCAGTGTGCATGCAGTGTATGCATGAGCATGAGTGAGCTTTTGCCCAAGGATCTAGGAGCCACACATTTGATACAAGGTCTTAGGCAGCTGAACTCACATCTGCCATCAATACTTGGAATCTTCAACAAGACTTGAATGGTTTAGCTGTAAACACATATGCACAGTCAAAACAAGCTCCCCCTTCTTGATGCTTGACTGTAGTCATAGCTCAGTCATTTCCTGATGTGTTCCTTTGGGAAACTGAATCTATGCTGGAATCTCACACATGGTGTATACAGGGCTACCTTCAGGCCCCGTGGGAGATTCCCTGAAGTAAAAACACAGTTGGAGTGTTGTTTTTTGATGGGAGGAGTGTTGTCACACCCAGCCAGCTGGGCTGAGCAGTGCAGCTGGAGTGCAGCTGTTGACATGAGTTGCAGGGGACCACAGTTAGTTAGAACCCATCACAAGGCTGTGTGAAAGCTCTTCGTTGTGTCTCTTGCCAAGGACTTAGACCATTTTTCTGAGTTGGGAGGTTGAATCTAAGATCAACGTGAGCCCACCCAACTGCAACAGCTTCATTTTCCAGGACATGGTTGTCTCCTCGTTTGTCATTGGCAGTTTGTCTCCTCCGTTCTTGCCCTCCTGAAAAAATAGAAGCCAAAAACCTGAGTCCACCAAGAACTTCATCGAACAAGGGAGTGATAGAGGAACAGCTGGGTACCATGGGAAGTAGAGACTTCTTTGATTCACCCTGAGCCCAGATGTGACCATCTCTGGTGTGTCTACTAAGTTGTGGACTCATTTCTTATACATTCCCTTGTCCACGTGTTCATTCATTCTTTGACTATGTTAGTGTTCTGCTAACCTTGTGATTTATCATTCACTCACTCATCCATATGTCCATCCCTTCATTCAACCACCCACCACCTAACTATTCATCTACTTTAACCATCTACCACCTAACTGTGACTATGCAACCTACCGTCCATTCATCTAACAATCATCTGTGAAACTATCCAATTATTTATCTAATAAAAATTTTAAAGGACTATCTATGTTGAAAAAATGTAGGAATTTTTTTCTAAGGGGGTCAGGATAAACAAGGAAACAAGATAAATTCCAATCTTTAAAGATACGTCTGAAACATGACTCTATTTCCTACATCTCAGGTTTTGTGTTGAGCCCATATCTTTCTTTGCTGACAAAGCTTTATTTACCCTTAGTCATATATCCACACCTCTATTTTCTGCTCAATGTGTGCAGATACATGGGACTGCATAGTGCCAGAGTATTGTGGGGAGGACACATCCTGTCCTTAAGATATGCTTCAGCTGAGTCTTCCTTGGGTTTGATTCCTCTGGCCCTGATCTCATTTTCTGTTTGGGGTGCACTTCTTTATTCTGCAGGGCTGCTCATAGCTGCATCTGTCTATAACAAAGTTTTTAACTTTGGTGATATGTTGACATCAATTAAGGTGCTCTGGAAAAATACTGATGTTAAGGCTGCATCTTACACAAATTAAATCAGAAACTTTAAAGACTAAACACTGAGCTTTACCTTACTCTTCCTGCTCCCCTTCCCCCTCTCCTCTTTCTCCTCCTCCACTTTCTTCCTCTTCTTCATCTTTCTTTTCTCCTTGTCATCCTCTTCCTTATTCTTCTTTATCTCCCTCCTGTCTCTTTTGTGATAATGGGGATACTTCCTCAGCCTCTTGAGTAGCAGGGATTACAGATGTGCATCACCATGCCTGGCTGCATCTTACATTCTTATCAATAACTTCTCCCAAAGTATTCCAATAGGTAGCCACACTGTGAAGAAAGAGTAAAAAGTCCACACAAACTCCTCTGTTCCTATCTTCCTTCCCTTTTCCCCCAAACTGGGCATGGCAGTGGATGGAGTGCCCCTTCTTAGCCTGAGGATAATCTCTTCCTTTTAGTGTTTCTGATCACCAAAAATGCCCCATCAGCTGTCTATCTATCTATCTATCTATCTATCTATCTATCTATCTATCTTTTTTCTATCAAGATAGGCAATGGCCCAAGATCTTGCTTTCTGTTTCTTGAGCAATGCTACATGCATGTATGTAATTAAATGAAGACAAGGAAAATAGGGAGAGGAGGAGGAGGAAAGGGAGGAGGATATGTGTGTGTGTGTGTGTGTGTGTGAGAGAGAGAGAGAGAGAGAGAGAGAGAGAGAGAGAGAGAGAGAGAGAGAGAGAGAGAGAGAGAGAAAACAAAAGTTATGCATAGTATATATGCCTGAGATTTAAGTACTCTTAGAGATTGAGGCAAGAGAACTTCAAGTTTGAGCACAGCCTGGACAACTTAGTAAGACTCTGTATAAAAATATATAATACAAATTAGAAACGACTAGGAATGTGGCTCAGTGTGAAGGTCCTGGGCTCAATCCCCAGTACTGGGGGAGAAAGATGGGTGCAGCAACCAGCACCACTGGTGTGACGGGTGCAGGACTGGCAGAGAAAGGGAAAAGCAAAAAGGTGAGTGTGCTAGTTTTACCTGAAGCAACCTGAGAGGGTCAGGAGAGGCACTTTGTTTCTCTGGGGAAGAACCCTATTTCCCGCTCAAAATCCCCACTACTTACTACTAAGTCACCTGCAGGGTGAGGCTCTCACAGCCAGCTTGTGCTTTCCCCAGGTGGTATGGATCACGGCCACGCTGCCTTACTTTGTGCTGTTTGTGCTCCTGGTCCACGGCATCACACTGCCTGGTGCCTCCAATGGCATCAGCGCCTACCTGCACATCGACTTTTACCGTCTGAAGGAGGCCACGGTCAGTGCCCGGTGACCACCCAGCTTTGGGCCCGGGTGGTGGGAGGGTCCTCAGTAGGGGTTGATGATGGAAAAATCTGTCCTCAGCTTTGTTACAAACTTGGAGTTTTAGCCTTGGAAAAGATTCCTCTCTGAGCAGGAGCTTCTCCATGAGCCCAGTTTGTTCTGATGGTCTGGGCTTCTGTGGTTCCATTTGGTGGTCTTCACAAACCGCTCTTGCAAGGAGAGCCATACCCCATGAAGGGGACATGATATCCTTGGAACTTATTCCTCTCTTGTGCCCATGGCATATTAGCCCATACCAGCCAGCCTTGCCTCATTTCTACTCTTAATCCCCAATCCTGGTCTTCGTCACCTTCCTGTGCTGTCATTGTAAAGAGCAGCCTCAGCCACTAGGGAGACATGGGCATGACACCTTTGTCCTTCAACAGCCTCCTTCGGCTCATCATCAATTTATGGCAGGCCCAAATTGTAATGGAGGGGGAATTTGATAGCAGAATCCAAGGTGGCAGAGTGAGAGTAGGAGCAGAGACCATCACATTGTCAAATAATGGCTGAGCTTATTTCCAGCCTCTCCTCCAGGTCCCTGCAGGAAGAAACCTCAACGATTTTTTCCTCACAACTGTCAAGGGAGTCTTTACATTTTATCTGAATCCACAGTGATACTGGCAGGCAGGAGCAACATGGTATTAAGAGAGAAGCAGCCCAATGTGCTGCCCCCAAAGTTCAAGTCCCAATGCATCACTGTCATAGACCAATGACCAAGAGAAAACTTATATCATTAGAAACCATCAGAAAGGTAAGACATGAATCAGTCTTCAAGCTTGTGAAACAACACAGACTTCTATGGTTGTTTAGCTCCTCCTACTCATCCAGATGTGTAGAAATGAAGTTAGTGTAGTCTCAAGGAGCAGATCTATCTTCTTTTGTCAAGTTGCTCCTTTCATTATGCTGTTTGCAAAGTTGAGGAAACCTGGAATAATGCAAGTGAGGAGATGACAAAAATCAATTGCAGCTCCTAGTTGGGGTGGTATAATTATGCACTACCATACAAATGAGGAAACTGAGGTATTAGAGAGATGAAATTGACCAGGAATAACCAGTGAAACAGAGAAGCTGGAGAGCGGCTCAGGTCTTCAGACTTTAAGCCGTATGCTTCCATCACCAAAAGGCTGGAACAAGTAAATCTTATTGCTTCCCAAGACCCTTTTCCACAGAAAGCACTATTCGTGTGCTGGTAGAAGTCTGCTATGAATAATTATCCCTTTCTGTAAATGCTTTCTCCAAAACTCCTGAAATGAATAGACCCTTTGTTATTGTCAACATTCTAGCTTAGAACTTTCAGTTTGTTTATTTTTTTTTGAAAATCGGGATTTAAAATTCATTCAGTGAAGGGGCTGGGGGTTTAGCTCAGTGGCAAAAGCACATGCCTGGCATGCGCAAGGTCGTGAGTTCAGTTCCCAGTACTGGAGAAAAAAAAAAAAAAAAAAAAATTGATTCAGTGAGTTCCTCCAGGGAACTCACAAATACCCTTGGCTAGGAGATTCTAAGGAGAACCTAGCCTGTCTCATGGGGAAAGGCAGTTTCCGTGTCTGCACATTTCTGCTTCAGATAATGTTCCTTCTTTTCAGAGGGTCCCCAGGGCTTTCCAGCCTTTCCCGAGACTATGCTGGGATAGTCCAAATATGTGTGAAGAAGAGAGTAATGTCTTTTGTCTGCTGGTTTCAGGTGTGGATTGATGCTGCAACTCAGATATTTTTTTCCTTGGGGGCTGGATTTGGAGTCTTGGTTGCATTTGCCAGTTACAACAAATTTGACAACAACTGTTATAGGTAAGTTTCTTCTCAGAACTCTGGAAAACTGAATCCTGGATACTGACTCTTTTAGGGATCAAAGAGAGGTCTCTGATTGATCTGAAAGCCAACTATCCTTGCACTAATCAAATTTTCTTCTTTTGGCCCATCCAAGGCATTTTCTGAACTGTGGTATGGTCTATGGCCTTCTAATTAGCACCACTGACTCCAGGATGGCTCTTAACAGAGTGTATTAGTCAGCTTTCCCATCGCTGGTGAAAAGTACCCAACTACAATTTAAAGGAGGAGCGGTTTAATTTGAGTTACAGTTTTAGGGGGTTCAGTCCATGGTTGGTTGGGTCCAAGGCAGAAACTGCATGGAAGAAGGGCATGATGGAGGAGAGTTGTTCAATTTATGGCAGGCAGGAAGCAAAGAAGTAAAGAAGTACTTAGGGATAAGAATACATCCTTCTGAATCATGCCACTAGTGACCTATGTCTTCTGACCAGGCTCTACCTCCAAACGTATAAGATTTGGGTGGGGGGACATTTTATATCTAAACCATAACACAAAGATGACAAGCTGAGAAAGGTGATGTCACTATGGTCAGGATATTATGGAGATCTGTACCTGGGACAGAGAAATGCGATGTGGCTTTCAAAGAAAATGGTGCCACCAGACTGTCCATTGGATGTTCTGGAAGACAGAGCTAGAAAAATCATGGTGGTGAAACCTGGCTCTGTTGGAGGTAAGATTGAAGGGCAAACAGGGAGTCAGAAGACTTGCTCCAGCTCAGATTAATAAACATTTAATGTTGCCTTCTACAGGCCCAGTGTTGTGAGGGCATCAAAGATGGATCATTTAGGTTCACCTTCATCACTCCATCCTAGGAGTAAGGTAGAGTCAGTGTTTTTGACAGAAGAAACAGCAGAAGGAGTGCACACAGTAGGATAGACTCTAGGAAGTAAGGAAATGGGGTAGCCAGCCCCTTGGTAGGATACCAGCAATAGCATGGAGGTATATTTGAGGGAAAGCTCAGAGACTAGCTAGGATTATGATAGGCAAGCATACAATGGATGACGTGTGTGGTGAGAAACAGCATGAAAAAAGGCAAAGAGGTGGTTTTTTGGGGCCAGCAAGTTGACTGCTTTGGTTTATTCAAAGAAATTATATTGGGAATCATGAAAAATAAGCCTAGATGGAAGGTCTCCTTAGCAAAGATTTTAAATGCCAGGTTGAAGAGTTGGGATGGCCTTGGGGAGCCATGGAAAATTTACTTAATTAGGCTGATGAGTTGATTCCCAAGTAAGAGTTTGGTACCAGTCTCTGGTGTATAACTATTCCACCAATAAGCTGTCCCCCTACTTCCTGCACCAACAGGTTCTAACCAAGTGATGGTGAGGCCTGGGTCCACATGGAAGCAGGGCAGGGAAAGGGAGAGCTGGCATTTCAGGCTAGGTCTAGGCTACAGTTTCCATCAAGGGCCAGTGGTCCACAGGTAAGTTTGAGGTGTGAGAGTCAGGTAGGCTTGAGCCAGCAGCACTTCTTTCCCTCAGGGATGCCCTGCTGACCAGCACCATCAACTGTGTCACCAGCTTTGTCTCCGGGTTTGCCATCTTCTCCATCCTTGGTTACATGGCCCATGAACACAAGGTCAACATTGAGGATGTCGCCACTGAAGGTAGGTGGACAGAGTACTTCAGCCTCAATCAAAGAACAACAGGCTCAGAAAACCACCTGATTCCTGACTTCACAGCTCTTCTGTGGCTATAGGTCTGTGAAAGCTAATCACAGAGATTTCCATACGGCCCAATTGATGAGCTTTTCCTTGAGGCTGTCAGTGGAAGTTCTAAGCAATGTTGGGCCCAAGGTGTGTAACAGAACTTTCCTGTGTGTCAGGTTGGAAAGATTTTGGAGTTCCCTTTCTACCAGCACCTGTGCTGAGCAGTTGACATATGTCTTAGTCCATTTTCTGGTGCTGCTGCAAAATACCTGAGGCTGAGTGATTTACACATGAAAGAGGTTCTGTTAGTTCACACTTCTAGAAGCCCAAGAGCATGGTGCCAGCATCTGCTGAGTTCCTGGTGAGGGGAGGGGGAATGTATAGCTCAACTCATAACCAAGAAGGAGACAGGGAAATGGCTGTGTATACGAGAAGCCAAACACATAGCGTGGTCTCACTTTATAACAATCCACTTTCAATAACAAATCTCTAGAGAACAAGAACTCATTACTACAAGAACAGCATTAATCCCTCTAACAACCTAGTTATCTCTTCCTAGCCCCATCCCCTCTCTACCTTGCTACACCAGAGAGAAAGCCTCAACATGAGTTTTGGTAGAGACAAACTGTATTCAAACTATAGACACACACTTCTGTTTAGTTTTCCCAAAGCTGTGAGGCAAGTGTTAACAAATTCCACTAAAAAGTGAGAAAACTAAGACTCAGGGTAAGTCTGTGGTCCAAGCCACCTTTCTGATGAGCAGTGGCACCAGGATCCAAATCTCAGTGGTCTGACTCTAGAACCTGTGGCCTTTTCCACTACTTCCTAGATTCCTGTTGCCACAAAGAAGTTGAGACCTTTGGAGGGGCTGCATCTAATGGGCTCTTAGGACCACAAATGTCTGAGAAACAGAATGGATCTTTCATGAATGTAGCTTATAGTCATCCAGACAAAGTGCTGCTCTCTTCCTGACTGTTTGAGGTCGACTTCCTTGATGCACACACTGTATTAGTCAGCTTTCCATCACTGTATTGAGATAATCAACTTACTGAAAAGAAAGGTTTATTCTGACTCATCATTTTGAAGGTTGAAGTCCATAATGGATTGGCCTTGTTGCTTTGGGTCTGTAGCAAGGAAACTCATGATGGTGGGGAAACTGTAGGTGGAATAAATTCTTTACTTCATGTCTGGAATGCTAAAGAGAAAGAGGGGACAGAGTTTCAATAGCCCCTTCAGGGGTATAGCCTCAGTGACTAAAAGTCCTCTTACCAGGGCCTACCTCTTAAAGTTTTCACCTCCTCCCAGTAGTGCTAAGCTGGGTTCTAAGACTTTAATATAAGAGCCTTTGGGAGACATTAAAGGTTGGAACACTGGCACTGGTGAATTGTAAGTCTGAACTGGCTTCCTCTGTAGACTTTTGGTCTGCGGTGCCCACAAGTGTTCTGGGGCTTGGTGGGAGTTAATTGGGCCTTGGAATGTTCCTCTGTCATCTGTGGCTCTGATCAACAGTCCCAGCCATTGATGAGGTCTTTGATGTTTCTTACAGGAGCTGGGCTCGTTTTTATCCTGTATCCAGAGGCCATTTCTACCCTGTCAGGATCTACATTCTGGGCCATTCTGTTTTTCATCATGCTCCTGACTCTGGGCCTTGACAGCTCAGTGAGTGACCCTGCTCTGGACAGCCCTTCCCCTCCTTTGGTCCTAACTCCCACCCCAACACACACATAATACTCAGTCTGAAGTTCCCACCATTTGGACTCCTGATTAATAGCTTTTCCCAAAGACCCTACTTAAATACAAACAGGGAAATGAGTCTTCCTTCAAAAAGGTAAGATCTAGTCAAAGTCAAGAACCGGTGGTTGGGCTGGGGATATAGCTCAGTGGCACAGCACCTGCCTGGCAAGTGCAAGGTCCTGAGATCAATCCAGGTACAAAAAACAAACAACAACAACAACAACAACCACAACCCAAAAACCAGGGGTAAGCCTATTAGCAACATGAAAATCAAAATCAGAAGGGATTTAAAATAAGTCACCTAACACTGTCCTTTTGCAGATAGAGAAATTCAGAGAGGACACAGATAAGTGTCTTGTTTTTTAGGCACTTTCTCATTCATTTAGAGTTCATCAGAAAGCAACAAAAATATTTTGAACCCCATTAGTTTCTTAGATCCTTTTATGTTACCCATATAGATTTTCTGACATCTTCTTATGTCTGTGTCTGGGGCGGGGGGAGGCTTTCAAAAAGTCTTCGGGTAAGGCTTCCCAATGGTTTCCTCTTCCTGCCTTTGCCTTTCAGGTAGTAGATCAGACTGCAGTGTGTTGGGAAGGATTCGGAGGTTACTTTCAGGCTCCTAGGGAAGAATCCTGATTTTGATGAGTAAGATCTAATAAGAGGAGAGGAAGGTGGGGCATGCTCACCTCTTGTCTGCTACAGCAGTGGTTCATAAGGAATGTATGTGCCCACAGCAGTGAGATGTGACATTCTTTCAGACTCAAAGACTTGGGTTTGAGGTGACCATTTTGCTTGATAATTAGGAAAAGAGCCAAAGGTCTTGTGGTGCTTCTTTGATAGAGGTCTGCAGAAGGCCCTGTTTACATTCAGATGTGTCAGCTATATCGCTCCACTCTGTAGTAGCTTATCCATCCCCATGGAGGCTGAGTGAATGAGCAAGAGGCAGGTACTTGTTACCAGGAACATATCAGAGTTCACTTCCCTCTTCACCTTCCTCCACATTTTCAGAGTTAGGCTGAGATCAGGGCAGACAGAGGAAGAGTGGATGGGGAGAAAGGCAGGGAGCAGGTAGTAGCCAGATTACCTAAGTCCCAGGACTCAGCATGTACTTGGTAGATACTCATTTCTGCTTTCCATCTGCCTGATTTACTCCAGATGGGAGGCATGGAGGCAGTCATCACAGGCCTGGCTGATGACTTCCAAGTCTTGAAGAGACACCGGAAACTCTTCACATTGGGCGTCACCCTGAGCACCTTTCTTCTGGCTTTGTTTTGCATCACCAAGGTGAGCAGGGTTTGGGCCCTGGGTGACCTGGAACTTCTCAGACTGCATTTCAATGAAGTTAAGGCATTTCCAGGCTTGGAGCTGGAGTGCCTGGGGCCAGGCTGAGCCAAGAGAGATGCTGGCATCATCCTCAATTCTGTGCCCTGTTGCCCCTGGGTAGACCCCTATCTCCTTCTGTCTCTTTGCCTGTTAACTGCTTATTGATTTGGAGCAACAAAAATCCCTTTGAAACTCATCTCACTGTATACAGGCTAAAACACCCATCTTTAGATCCAGTGGCTTCCAGAGGTTTTAGAATACAACTCAAATCCTATCACCTGAGTTCTCAGATAGTTCTGAACAGGTGGGGCAGGAGACAGGTAAGAATTGATGGATGCACCAGTCAGTGACCACTTCTAGTCAAAGATGGCCTCAGGTTTTTTCTCTCCATGGCCCAGGGTGGAATTTACGTCCTGACTCTCCTGGACACCTTTGCGGCAGGCACCTCCATCCTGTTTGCAGTACTTATAGAAGCCATCGGAGTTTCCTGGTTTTATGGTACGTGAATGTGTGGCAAAGTCTTGGTCCCCAGTGCTTGTAGAGCCCTTTTACCTGGAGATGCAAAAGGGTTCTCTGTTCCCAGGGCAGCGCCTGTCTCTCCAGAGATGAGCAGGCTGCTTATTGAGAGCAAGTCTTTCTAACCTCAGCTCATCTTTAAACATACTTCCTTTAGTTAGTGCAAACATTTCTGAAAGCACCCACTGTCAGCCTCTGGGGAGAAACCCAAAAGAAGCCATAGGTCCTCAGGTCATGGAATTTATTCTAGCATAGGGTTGCCAGATTTAGTAAGCAGAATACAGGATTCCCAGTTATTTATCTGAATTTCAGATAAATAAATGAATAATTATTTTGATATGTGTAGGTCCCAAGTAATATTTTTCCCATCAATGTATTTTTCTGACTTTCAAATTTAACTGTGTGGAAGGTGTTCAGAAGCTGTCCAGTGGGTCTGGCACTCTAGATTCACATCTTCACTGCTGGGTCACATGACCCTGGTGGGTTATGTCCTTATCCACAAAACAGCAACAGAGCTGCTGGGAGGACTGTTGGGGCATTAGGTGGCAAGGTCACCATGGAGAAAATATTTCATGAACTGTATTGGAATTGTTCACCTCCCTCACCCCATAAAAGACACCAATGTTAGTCCTGCTCATCGCCAAGAAGAGTTAGGAAGGGATGCAGTGTAGCAACTGGAGCTCTTCTATGAAACTGCAGTCAGAATTTTACACATGCATACACATGTGGGTACAATGGCTGTGTACACAGGGTTGTCGCTTTCCAAGAAGAAAAATCTAGGATTCTGAGCAAGGGCAACTAGACTCTGTAGCCTAAGGCAAGCATCCTTCACACTGATTTTCCTCTTACAAGTTAATTAGGGTGAAGCATAAAGCGTGATACTGTCCTTGTTTTTGTCCTCTTCCTTGTTCTGAATCAGCTAAGTGTCGCCTCCTAGGTCCTCCGAGTCCCTGCAGATTACTGCCTTGCTGTCCACCTGAAGTCCAGAACCTCACAGGTCCTGGTTCCTGGGTCTGTGTGGGCCACCATAACGGGCCTTTTCTATGTGTACAGGTGTGGACAGGTTCAGCAATGACATCCAGCAGATGATGGGGTTTAAGCCGGGACTCTACTGGAGATTGTGCTGGAAGTTCTTTAGCCCAGCCTTCCTCCTGGTGCGTAGCGTGTGTCCAGAGTGTGTTCAGGGTGGAGTAGGGTGGGAATATTGGCTTCTGAAGTGAGGAGGCCCTGGGATCTAGAAGACCCGGCCATGTAGATAGGACACTGGGATGTTTAGCCTGTTCGTTGGTACCATGATGGGCTTCTACCTTAGCAACTGTCTCCAGCCTGGGGCTAAGTCCCTGGGAGACTTGTGCTAGCTTTAAAGTCACCATTCTGTTCTTACTCCTCTTTCCTTGTCCCCTGTTGTCCTTGCTTCCTTTTGATTATCATTTGCTTCTTGAATTCTTTCTCTGTATCTTTTCTCACTTTCTCCTTTCTCCTTTCCCTATAACCCATTTTACCCACTGCTTCTCATTTCTCTACCTTTCTCTGTTTGCCTCTCCTTTCACCTCCTCCTCGCTTTGCTCTGCTTTGTTTCTCTTCTCTCTCTCCTCCTCCCCACCCCTTCCTCCCCTCCCCACCTTCTCTTTTGTTCTTCCTCCCCCTAGTTCGTGGTGGTGGTCAGCATCATCAACTTCAAACCCCTCACCTATGATGACTACGTCTTCCCCACTTGGGCCAACTGGCTCGGGTGGGCCATTTCCCTCTCGTCCATGGCCCTGGTTCCTGCCTACATCATCTACAAGTGCCTCAGCATGCGGGGCACCCTTCGGGAGGTGAGCTCTAGGCCAGCCATGGGGGGATGGGACAGGACAGGAGCTGGCATTCCTTGGGGGTCAGACAACCACCTCATTGACCAAGTTACTGTTCCACTGAGCCTCAGTTTCCATATCTCTAACCCAGGCTAACGCTGTATACCTTGAAAAGGAAAAGGAAGTGCTCAGTACAGTGCCTGGCACACAGAAGGTGCTCGGTGCATGGCACTTGCAGTCAATGTGGCTGTTCCCATGTGACCGTTGCTGTCTATGTGACAAAGTAGCACCCAGCCCTCGAGTTCAGTGAGGGCTGGTGAGACAGATGGCCTAAATTTGGCTTCCACCTGGGTCCTCTAACATTTGTCATTTCTCCACATGTCCCAAATCTCCTTATCTAAGCTCCCATTAAGATTTGGTCTTCCTGGTTTCATTTGCCTCTTTCCTGATCATAATATGATCAGCATATTGTAAAGCAAAAATAGCAACCCCTTCATCCTTCGTCTACTCACTGGGCAGGAATTCATTGAAAATCTAACATGTGCCACTTAGTATTCTGTGCACCACACAAAACCCCCTGACGTTCTGGAGCTCACATTCTCATGAAGAGACAGATAAAATGGGCAAGTAGGGAAGTGAGCCAAGCAGGAACTTAGGGTAGAGGATCCCAGGCTGTGTCCACACCCTTCTCCTCCCCATTCTTCAGCTTGTGTTTTCCGTCCAGAAAGTCTCCATCCTGGGCCACAGGGAGAATCCATATTCAGTGCACTCATCCAAGACACTGCTTCTCATTCATCACTCGTTGGGAGCGAGGACAGCTCCCACAACCCAGTGACAAACTTTGATTCAGAGCTCACACTGAGGCTCACACACTCAGCTCACACTGAGTGTCTCCCCAGGAGGCCTTCCCTGATCTCATGTGGGGCAGGGAACCCCCTTCACGTCCACACTGTAGCGTTTACTCGTTTACAGTGTCTCTGTGTGTGTTTGCTAGGTGCCAGTCCCTTTCATGGCTGTCAGCTCCCCCAGACAGAGACAGCAGGGCTCCTTCAGCTCTGGGTCTGCAGGCCCAGCCCAGTGTTGACCAACCACTGTACGCAGCTTGAGAAACAGTCACTAGATGCATGATTCAAAGAGCATCAACTAGCTCCCCAAACAAGGGGGTGGTGGGATGGGTGTTTTTATATATCTATATGGGGCTTCAGGTCCAGAAAGTGGAGGACCAAATCACAGGTGTCAGCTGGAGTGCTGGGCAGGTGTTCCAGGGGCCAGACTAAAGCCTCATCTTCTTCCTCTTCGCAGAGACTGGCTTATGGCATCACACCAGAGAATGAGCACCACCTGGTGGCCCAGAGAGAAATCAGGCAATTCCAGGTAGATGCAACCTGAATGACCGGGGTGGGCTCTGGGGTTTGGGGCAGTCCCTCCAAGCTCCCTGCTGTGTGCCCAAGGCAGGGCCCCACAGCCAGAAAATCCAGCATGTCTGTAGGCTATGGCGTTGGAGTGAAGGGGAGGGGCCTGTGCTCTGTTTACCCAGCCTCCTCCTGCCTCTCTACTCCCTGGTCCTGGGATGTCACACCCCAGTGTCTCCTACAACTATATTCTGCCTCTATGAGTTGTCAGTATGGAGTGTCACCAAATAGACCGAGACCTCATGCTTTCCTTGTCCCTTAAAAATATCAGGATTTGGGGATGAGGAGGCTCCCAGTGAGTCGTGAGGGCTACCCATGCCTTCTGCTTGGCACTTTCTACACCTAGGTGACAACTAGAGCCTCAGACTGCTTGTATTCGAAGGGCTGTGAGAAGATGGGGCTGTCCGTTCTGCCTCTTCTTAGCTTTCTACCACCCAGCCGAGCTTGGTCCCCTTGCTTTCTGCCCGCCCTGGCCCTGTCATAAAGACCTTGGTATCCTTCTCTACAGCTGCAGCATTGGCTGGCCATCTGAACCTGACCCCGAGGAGGAGGAACCCACTGTGCCCAGGTCCTGGTCAAAGGCCTCTGCTTCACTCCCACCCTGGACACTGTCTTGGAATTCTTCTCCCAGAAGATGCCCTTTCCGACCCTCTCTTCTTTTCTTGGTTACAAATGACTTAGTGACTATGGTTTTTGTTCACCTCTGTTCATCTGGCTTAGGGCCTGTGATTGTGAAGGATTGGTGAGCCTCAAGGGAGAGGAGAAAAGGAGGAAGCAGTAAAAATCCCTTGTGGAAACCCCAATTTGGAGGAGTAGCTCCCATCACTTTGGGAGCCCACCCAAGCTGAAATCCATGGCTCAGGCAGAATCCTTTACCACGTTTACTTGTACTTTGGGCCACAGAAGAAAATCGCATTTCAGCCAATCTGAGAAAGGATGGGTTTTAGATCAGACACCAAAATGTCAGCAAAAAGTCCAGCTCAATTTGGTGTATGGATGGGGAATTCGTATGTTCCTCATCTCTTGCCCACCCTAAGTAGCATGCTGGTGTCTGAACTTCATTTTGGGAATTTCAGTTTATTTGCCCCTAAAATGAAATCAGCAGATTGATGTTTTGGGAACTTTGAGCAGAAATCTTCATAGTTAGTTTTCAGCCTGGATATCTGAATTTGATTTGTGTATGATCCGGAAGGTTCCTTTGGCTTCTGTTGTTCAGATGGTCCACAGCTATGGGTGCCAGAGAAAGAATGCAGATGAGTCAGAGTGAGCAGGCTCCCCAGAGTATCTGTACTAGGTAGACGCCACTAGGCCAACCATGTGTACCGAAGGCATATCCTGCTCTTGTCCTGTGAGGAACATGGGATCCTCAAAACTCACTGGTGGTTCCTGAGATCTTCTTGGGGAAATGGGACAGGGACTTGGGGAAGCCAAGGTTGGTACACCATAGGCCTCTCTGCTGTCCTTTTGGGTGACAAACTGTCCTGGCTATTTACTCTTCATGGACACCACGAAAGCCTTCCCTGGGGATCTCAGCACAGACCAAGCGTTCTGAGGGATGAGGAGTTGACCCTGAAAACTTCTGTCTCTTGTCAAGGTCTAGCTAGACACCTTGGCACCTTGGGTTGGGGGTGGGACTAAGACCCCACAACCCAATCACTCAAATTGAGAGAATATTCTGAGTGAGAGAACAGGTTGGTGGGTTTAGGACAGTCCTAGCTTTACTTCTGAAAAAACTCTTAAGTGATGGTGGTTAGTTTCAGTTCAGTGAGAAATGATTGGTGGTTTGGAAAATCGGTGGCGTTTAGTTGGGATTTCTGTTTATGGTTTGAGTCTCATGAACTCATTGGGAATCTAGAGTTGTGCATTCTCATTTAAACTGTGGGAGCTCCTGTTGCACATGAGCCCACTTCACTTACCCTGGGAGTGTGGGGTGCACACTTAGAGTGGGCTGTGGCTAAAGCTAGGACATCTGTGAGCCCCTGGGATGCTGCAAGGTGAGGGCTGGGTGGAGCTGTCTGGAGACAATGATGGCATATCTCCGAACATCCTGGGGGTTTTCTGCTCAATCAAGACATTTAGGTCACTCTTTAGAGAATAAAGAGCGGAAATGAGCAGTGTTTTGATCTTTTATTAAAAGAAGGCCAGCTTACGGCCTGAGATAGCCTAAGTGGCACACATTTTGGGCCCTTGCAAAAAACGAGGCCAGTTTCACACAGATGGAATGAATCAGGTGCTGGTCTGGATCCCTTGACTCTTTCCATGAGTGATAATTTTTTCCTAAATATATTTTTTTTTAACAAAGTACGCTTCCCATGCTGCCTCCCAGCTGCCTCATGTGTACAACAGGGCTGGCTCCTATTTTCCCACTTCCCTGGTGAGAAAACTAAGACCTGGCATTTAAGTTCGTGTTGTTCAAGGAACTAAGCTGGTACTCCATGAACAATCTCAGATCTCAGCTAATAAAACTTGGGAATACTCTCATCACATGGTCCATCCTACCTAGGACTGTCATGAGACACAGAACACACAGAAATCTACTCAAAGGCAGAGGAGCACTTCCTAGCCAAAGAACAGTGTGTTGGAACAGAGGGCAGAGGGAAAAGAAAGGCATTCATTCTTACCTAGCTCGTTACCAGGCAGGAAATTGCTTAGCTGCTACACAGTCTTTTACTGAAAATAACCACTCTTTGAACAGTAGGATCTAAGAAGCTAAATCCACTTGGCTGACCTGAGCACCCACTCAGAAAGACCCATGTGCATTAGATCACAGCCAGCCTGCTATTTTTTCTTAGTCACCTGCACTGTGGTCCTTCTGCCTGCAGACATTGTCCTCGGGGTAATTGGAGGAGTGGTGCTAGCTGAATGAATATCAAACCAATGCCATGGTGCTGCCTTGTGGTGAAGTTGGCTCCTGAGTCTGGGGTAGATGGAGGGTTCCTGGTTCCAATCCTAGGCTCCCTGAGAGGGTAAGGGGTACCAAGAAAGGCCTTGAAGATTCTCACAGAGGTGCTGGGAGACCAACTGGGTTCACTTTTCCACTTACATTTAAGAGAGAAAGATTATGTGCTTCATCCAAAGTAATGCTTGACTTCTTTTGTGTAACCTTTTTTTAATAGGAGAAGCTACCCAGGACCAGGGTGCTCCTGTGTACTGTATATGACACTTGACACTTTTGATATTTTACTAGGTTTTTAAAGAATTATTATTTTCCATGAAATATAAAAGATCTGTTTAAGACCATCATGTTGACCTCCTGCTCCTCACTATCTAGTTATTTAGTATTTAAGTGTGAGTCTTTATTCTAGATGCAAATTAGACAAAGAAAGAGAGGAGCTGCCAGCTCTTGCCAAATACCTTGCTGAACAAAATTCCCTAAACTGCCTTAATTCTGAGAGAAGAAAGAGAGGTTCTTGCTCAGGTGGGAGCCTGTCTCTTGCCATGTGATCTCCTTTCCATCTTTGAGTGTGAAAACTGAAGCCTTCTTACCAAAGAATTCACCACTTAGTAAAGAATTCCACTGCACTCATTTTATATGTTTTTTAGTTTTCTTTGAAAGGCACAATGGAAAATAACACAGGGTGTACAGTGCGGTGAAAAAGCAGAGCACTGAGAGTTGCACAGACCTGGGTCTGCAGCTGCCTAGTTGGATGGCTTGGGAAGAAGAGTTTCATGTCTTTTGGGTTCAAGGGTGTTTGTCTGCACAATCAGGGATTGTATTAGATAATGAAAGATCCCATCCAATTAAAACAAACGAGCCAGAAAACCTTTATGTCTTCATGAGCGTATTCTTGAGCTAAATTTACAATGAAGAAAATACATCACTTGCTGTGGGATTTTCCAAAATGACCCTCAACCATGAGCAGACTGCTTAGAAATATCAGATTTCTGGCCTCTAGAACTTTGTTTTTCAGATATGCAGTAGTTCCACTTTCTCAGATACTTCTCCAGCAGAAGCCAAAATACTTGGTATTTGAATGAAAAGGGTATCGCCAGCCCTTCTCTTTGAAGAGCCTGAGGGTGATATCCCATCCTGCCCGGAGACAGCATGACTGCACCGGTGACTGAAGACACTGTGGGGTGCCTGCCCGTGTCTCCCTGTCTCTCAGCTTTTGTGAAAATGCAGACTATTTCAATGGTGTCCTCTCCATGTCATGGATGTTCTAGTGTCCCGCAAATCTCTACTGTCTGATTTGGATTTATTTTAAAAGTTGTTCTCTTCATGGAAAAATAAGTGTGAAGAATAATAAACGATATTTCCTGTGGCATGTATCTGGTTATGGAGTTTTGAATGTGTTTTGCCATGAAGGCCAAATGCTATGAATTATTTGAGATAAGAGGGTTTGTTTCTGATCAGCCACTAGCTAGTAAAGAAGAGCTTTGATCATAGCAGCCAAATACCTTTATTACATCACTTGTGGAACAGGAGACTATAGGGGCTAAATCTGAAATCTTAGCTCTGAAATTGACACACAATGTGTGTGTGTGTGTGTGTGTGTGTGTGTGTGTGTGTGTGTGTGTTTATGTGGTGCTAGAGACTGAGTTGCACCACCAGCCTGACAACCCTTAATTACAAAGGATACCTAGGGACAACAAGCTTAGCTATCTAGTTTTGATTTGTTTTGTTTTTCATCTCTAGGGCCAACTTTCAAGGAAATCAGACCTTCAGTTGGATTGAACTGAATGTGAAATTTAGTGCATATGTGGATTATTCTTGGAAAGGGGATATTGTTACACTCAGGCCCTGAAGCTTAATACTGATTTGGGAAAGATATAAATTGACAGAGTCTTGTTTTTAACACAAATCAGCAGGTAGATGATAATACCACACTAGCAGAGGTAGCTAAATAACTAGATATTGAGTAGAAAGATATCAGTGTGATGGTCTTAAATGGATGTCTTACATTTCATGGAAAATAATAATTTTAAAAACCTATTAAAATACCGAAAATAACATTTCAGTCTTCCAGGTTTGTGAGGACTGCCAGGGAGTAGGTGCTGGGCCCCAGGGCTGAACGGAATCCAGCGGTAGGAAGCCTGAGGAGTCAGCTTGCAAGATTAGACAAGAGAGAAAAAGCTTTGGAGCTGTGTAATCAGACAGCAGGGACTGTCTCAGGAATGTGATGGAGGGAGGAGGAGGGGAGCTGTTATAGATCCACTGGGCTCTCTCCTGTTTGGGGCTTCTGAGTTTCCTTTGGACAACCATAAACCCAGCCTTGTGCACAGCAGTGAGAGAGGCAAATACATGCTTGCCAAGGATCTTGGGGCAAGGAGCGGTTTGGCCTGTGATGCCGGAGTTTGGCAGACATCCCAGAGAGAGTAGTGTCATTCCAATCATTTGTTTCAATGCAGCACTGGAGTTTGTGTGTATCTCCCAAAAAGGTGGTTGTTTCTGGCCTTCCCCTGTGCCTGAGAATGTGAGCTTGGGAGCTGGCCAGAAGGGCAGCTCTTCTGGGGGTGAGGATGGATCTAGCAACCAAGGCTGCCTCTCTGTCCCTAAGTTGACAAATGTGGTGAGAGAAACCAGAGCAACACAGTGGAATGGGTCTCGCTTTCAGCACCTGGTAGGCTTTTGAATTTCCCCAAATTTGATCACATCTCTGCTTTGCTTGAGGAGATTAGATAGCTTCATCAATATCTGCATCCCAAAGGCATTGATAAGTGCAGTCTCTCTCTAGGCCTCACCTTGTTCATCTGAACAAAAGACTAGGATTCATCAGTACAAAGCTTTGTTTGGATGAGTGCACGTCCAGTTTTCTGAGGAAAGGATGCATACATCTACCTAAGCATCCAATGTTTAAAGCTCACAAGTAATATATGGTTGGCCCTCTTTAGTTGTGGGATCAGTATCTGCATATTGAACCCACTGCATATTGAAGATACCAGAAGAAAATGCATTTGTGCTGAACACATGCAGACTTTCTCTTGTTATTATTCTCTAAACCATATGGTGTAATGACTATTTACATGGCATTTACACTGTACTAGGTATGACAGGTAACCTGGAGATGACCTAAAGTACACAGGGGAGATGTGATTAGGTTATATGCAAATATTGCACCATTTTATATAAGAGACTTGAGCAGTCACTGATGTTAGTTTCTATGAGGGGTCATGGACCCAATCCCTCAAGGATACCAAGGAACAACTGTGTCACTTTGGGAGGCTTTCTCTTCTAATGATACCTGGCATTGTTTCTGCCCCTATCCTGTACTATATGAGGGTGTCAATGCAGCTGATTTCTGAATCTCCATCACCTGCACTATGCTGACTATTCAATTCAACCCATCCCCCCTCAGACACTTTGTTTGTTTTCCTGATTACAATCTCCTGAGGCATCAGGATTAGCAGCAAAATGCCAATGGAGAGGTGATGCATTTCAGGCTGGAGTTAAGAAGTGACCCACTGAGAATGCAGACTGGTGAAACCACTGTGGAAATCAGTTTGGAGATTCCTCAGAAAACTAGGTCTAGAGGTCCCATTCAACCCAGCTATCCCCCTGCTGGGTATTTTCCCAGAAGATCTAAAAACATAATATCACCGCAATATATGTGCAGCTATGTTCATAGCAGCACAATTTGTAATTGCTAAATTGTGGAAGCAACCCAAATGTCCATCCACTGAGGATTGGATAAGAAAATTGTGGTACTTTTATATAAAAGAATATTACTCAGCTATGAAGAAAGATAAACTAGAGGCTTTTATAGGTAAATGGTCACAACTAGAGACCATAATCATAAGTGAAATAAATCAGACCTGCATGTGCAAGCACCACATTGTTTCACCAGTGTAAAACCTGAAAGAGTTGATTTAAACTAGGAGGTATGATAGACATTGTGAAATCATAGGAAAACACTCAAGGGTAAAGGGCAATGGGATGTGGGAAAGGAGAAGGGAAAGAAGGAGAAATTTTGTATGTATGTATATACAGGATAGTTAACATAGTTGATCTACTGTCTTCTATTTCTTTGCTGAAAGAAACTGTCAGTGAGTCCTTGATTGATAATATTGCATGTCTCTATTTGCTTTCATGAGAAGCCACTTTGAAGATATCAATATGTAATACAACAGTCATTGTTAATTTCCTACCACTTTGTTTGTAACTCTGTATTGTCTGTACTGTTCCTTTGCTATTTTGTAAAAGGTTGTCTGTCTGTTAATATTTTCCTCCTTTTATTTTTAAAAGAAAAAAAAACAGATGAAAGGAATGTGTTGATCATCGTAATACATTTAGAAAAAGCATTCAGTGAAATTCACTATGCAGAGAATTAATAGAATTTCTTGAATTTGATAAAGGGTGTCAATAAAAAATAACAGCATTTATCTTATTTAATGTTGAAATGTTAATAAATATTTCATTTAAAACCAGAAAAAAAAAGCAGTGACCCATTGAGAGTAACTGAGTGGCTGAAGGACGGTCAAGTCCCAAACACCTGGGTCAATGCTATCCTCATTATTTTTAGTGCCCTTTGGAAATAAAATAGGGTCAGGGATCTGACAAGTCCTGACAGCTTCCCTAGATCTGTAGGAAAGGACAGCAGGGTTCTAAGTATGAGTTCATCTGGAGGGGGCTTCTTTCCAGAATCAGGAAAGATCACTTTGTCACATAGCCAGAAGACAGTCCAAGTAAGTCTGGACAGATCAGTAAGGTTAGAGGTTAAAACTATTGAAAAGTTTTGCATCTGTAATGTCCACTTGAGAACAGGGGCCCTGATGTTGTGATTGAGTCATGTTGGACAAATTATCAATAAGTCTTGGCCTTTATATCAGTAAAATGAGAGTGTTGGGCTAGGTGACTTTCTAAAAACCTTTCTGTTTTTACCTCTGTAAGATACCGTTGAAGAGCTGTCACAGAGTTGATGGACTGACTCATACTAAGATGAAAGGGACTGCTTCACCGGGTAGACACTGACTGATTGAAGTGGGAGCAGTTGCTTTTTATCCGTATTATAGGTTTAGTGTGTGAATCTGCAAACCTTTTCTGTAAAGTCTCTGTCAGAACTACTCTGCTTTTGTAGCACAAAAGAACTCTATTTCTAAAACAGATTGTTTTGGATCATAGATGCAGTATAGTTTGTGGATATTTGGTTTAGTAGAGAGAGTGAAAGATTTGAAGTTGGACTAGACCTGGGTTTGACTCCTAGCTCCTTCCTTTCTTCCTTCCTTCCTTCTTTTCTCCCTTCCTTCCTTCCTTCTTTGCCCCTTCCTTCCTTTCTCTTTCCTTCCTCCCTCACTTCTTCCTTCCCTCCCCCACTCTTTCCTCTGAGCTACACCCTCAGCCATCCATTGTACTACTTGCTAATATGGAATCTTGAACAAATTACACAAAACTTCGGAGGCCTTATTCCTGCAAGGCAGGAATGAAAGAAAAAGAGTAGCAGGAAGATGAAGCAAGCAGTAAGCTCTCTGGACCCATGGCACCTGGATCCTCACCTTGATGCCATCACCCCACAGCATGAAACTATTGGCCAGTTATTTAACTTCCCTTTGCCTGAGTTAATCACGTATAAATGGGAATGACAAGTGTGATCATCACCTGATAGAATTCTTGGAAAGATTTCTTATTCACGTTGCATTTAGAATTGGACCTGATACACAGTCTGTTATTCTTTTTTTTATTATTTTAGAAATAAAAGGAGGAAAACATTAACAGACAGACAACATTTTACAAAATAGCAAAGGA